GGGGGAGTCTCCCTCCGCAGCCGGTTGGCGTAGTTTTTGCTCAATTCCGTGGTACAGGCCGACGTTAACAGAAGCCCTGTCTGTGCACACGGAGACCGACTCTGTCGTCCGGTGATCTAACCGCCTTCTGGAAAAGCTTCACAAGTACGTCGGTACGCAAATGCGCTTTGTGACACAAGTGACGGTACGCATTTCAGATTGTTCCCGCGCATGCGTACCTGCATACCAGTTATGTGCACCCCTGATTATAATGTTATGATGTCGCCCTGGACTCTGAGGGTATCTTGTTATTCTATAACAAACTAGATAAAACGTTAATGCCCTGGCAGTGGCAAATATATTTGATTCGATTAAAAATTGTAATGGTTACCAAGCACTAGTTAAAATGTCTCGCCATTAAAAATGTATAGTCGTCGATTGAAGCATTTTCTCCAGAAAACTAGATTTTATTTGGGCTTTCGTACTCTACCCTGTGATAGCAATAAAATCTGAGATCATTCTGACCTTTGAATCGTAGGCCGACTGCTTTATGACTTCAGGTGCCATCCAGAAAGGAGTACCAACGAATGTGTTTCGTTTTATCTGGGTATCGGTCAGCTGGCCCGCCACTCCGAAGTCAGCCAGCTTCACTTCGCCTTGTTCTGACATCAACACGTTGGCGGCTGAAAGCAAAGCAAACGGATACAAATATAACTTCCACACCCATGATTAGGTTTTTGGACCTGATTACACACAGCACACTCAGCTGGTGATTAAACCATAAACAAGACTCAAGCCAAAACAGAGCAATGCTATGAGCCAGTCTAACCTTTGATATCCCTGTGGATTTTCTTTTCAGAGTGCAGATACTCCAGACCTTTCAGGATCTCTCTCAGAATTGTGGCAATCTGCGTTTCATCCAGGGATCCTGGTTCCAACTAGAGGAAGGGAGAAATAAGAGGAGGAAAAGGTGACGTTGGGTCCATCTTTGAAAGATACATGACAGAGAACTGTCATAACGGCGAAGCAATTGTGATCATCTGAAGAAAGGTCATCGATTTTATTTTTGCTATAGACTTACCAAATCCAGGGCTGATCCTCCACCCAAATACTCCATAATAATCCATAGTTTTGTACCCTGAAAAATAAAAACAGGAATTTAGTCGGATAGTGTTTGATGAAAAACAATTAAATAAAAAGATGTGCCCAAAACATATGCAGATTTAGGTCAACAGCTGAGAAACCTTTTGTTTGTTTAAATAAAATGCTCCATTGCTCACTTGGTGGAAAGAAGACATAATATACAGCAGCAACACAGTGGCGACACCAAATCTATGAATTCTAAAATATTCTATAACGTTTTAACATTTACAACAGACTGGTTTATGGTTGTAAATTCAATGATCATAGCTGTGTTAAACCTTAGGTTCAATTTGTTAAAAAGAAAAGGAATATTAGATTGTATAGCAATATGTTTAAAAAGTAGGCATTGCCTTGGGACGCCCTCTCCTCTACAGGCTGACTTTAGTTGGAGTGAAAGCTGCACTAAAAAACACTAGAAGCATGTCTGCGGTCTGATTCAGTTGTGCACTAAACACTTAGGCAGCACCTGTTTCCTGTACAAGTGCAATGTTGAGAATAAACAACACCTGTCACTCACTACAACTACAGATCTGTGGATGAGGAATCTACGCTTGTGGGTTGAGATTTCCAGGTGCACACAGAATATTTCGAAAATATAATGTTGCCTGGGATACCGTCAATTATTCCGTGGGGCACAAGTCCCTAGTATAAATGTGATTTGTTTACATTTCAGCTACATTAAAGTATACAGAACTAGCTACTAGCAGTTCCTGTTTGCTATGTACAGTACCCACCAATCAGACAACTATCACTTAGGATTACTAATCAAAACAATTTGAAAATGGGATCATTTTTAAAGTTCTTGGGGTTGAAAGTAACATCCTATGCCTGTGATTTCTCAGGAGATTTAGGACCAGAAAGAAAAGCCTAAACTACATCAACCGAAAAAACACAAAACAAACCAAAAGCACTAAGAAAATCTTCCTATACTGGCAACAACTCTTGATTCTCCTATCTATGTGATCTCTAGCAAGGGTATTGATTTGAGAAAGAAGGTGGGAACTAGAAAACTGTTGATCACAACAATACCACTTTAAAGTTTGTAAGAAATGTAAACACATACATACAAACAGCACAAATACCACGCTTATGTACGCACAAATAAGCCTTAATTCTCTGCTTCAGCCTGCAGCATAACTTGAGGTAATGGACCACCACTTCTCTGCTTACTGCTGTTAAGTACCAGAGTACTGTAAACGCTGTGAGAGGCACTCTAAAGCCGGGCTTAGACTGCAGGACTTTTGAAACCAATTTATAAATCAGGTTGCAACACGCACATGAGAATACAATTCACCAATGTTTTAGCTGCAATAATGGCACAGCACACACAACAGAATATTATCATATTTCAGGAGGGGGTTAAGACTGGATCTGGACCCCTCACATGGTAATATATTATGTGTTATTAATTTGTAATGACCAATGAGTTTATTCTCCAATTGTCAGGGGGGGTTGAATTAGGCCAAAATCGAGACATCTTAAGCACCATCACATGTAGCGTGACTAAAAATGTAATTGACTATACAGAGATGTTAAAAAGCTGACTTCCAGCTCTGCTGTAGTTTAGACAAACATGGATATCGCCAGATCTGTCCTCCTATAACTGTTAAGCTTCTTTCTTCTTATGCATAGGCCTACAAAAGGCGATGATTCCTTCCCTGTTGACTTTGTTTACACATGAACGCCCTGATATTAAAGCTGAACACATTGACCTAATTGTGATTTCCAATCCCAAAAAATCTGCTAGAGTATAGAGAAAAAAACTAAAACATATGTCGGTGTCCAAATACTTACAGATCGCACTGTTAAAAGCCCTCAAGCTACAGCATATACCACAGCAACGTTGGCCTAGTTCTTTTTGTTCAACAGCAATCTGTGCAATGTTACACAGGAAATGCTTGTTCCATCGCCCATATGCATTATTTATTGACCTACATTGTACACACTTGCTTGAAAGAACACACTACTGACATATATGATTTATTTGGAGTATGGGCTATCCCAAATTGAATAAGATATTATTCCTGAGGTCACAGCTTACCTTCAGGTAGGATCCATAATACTTGGTGATAAAGGGACTGTCGCACTGGCTGAGAACGGTGATTTCCTGTTGTATGTCTTCTATTTCATCCTCTGCTTCTTCCAGATCAATAATTTTAATGGCCACAACTTTCTGAGTCCGACTGTCGATGCCTTTGAAAACTTCCCCAAAAGAGCCTTTCCCTATCCTGTCCATCTTGGTGAAGTACTCCTCTGGGTCAGCATGGAAATTCTGTGTGACAGAGAGACGGATGGGAGAGAGAGTAGAGCGCATTTTAATAACACAGAACAAAATGTGACTGACAAGGTTCACGTGTGTTCAGAGATAACACTACACACGTTTTCTAGTTGTTGTTACACGGGACAACAGCTGAACATACAAGCAACATATCTGCAAACTATGATGCATTGTTGCAACCGGAGGTATGCCATGTATAATTATTTGATCTGTAAACAATTTTTGCATAAAAAAAAATATATACATATATATTTAAAAAAACAACAACAATTTTTGCAATTAATCGTCTGTCTAGTAAATATGTATATATCAGAGAAATGATTGTAGAACGGTCAAAGTCAATACAACAGAGATCAAGATATCCTCCGGTATGGGCTAAGCTAAAAACCCACTGGTTCCTTTCCACGATGCAATCAAATCAAACTGATATCTTTCTGCCTTTTCAGAGCAAATTGTGTGGCTGTGAGAAACACTTAAATCCTGAGATAATGTAAAACAAACCCAACTTAGCTTAATGACCTCCACCACACAGGCTACACAGAAACTGAAGGACTACACCCTAACTTATTGACTGAAATAAATGGCCTATTTCCCCATGGAGCACCGGGGAGAGTGTAATGGTCTTCATGTTAGCCGGTTCAATTTCACTTCATGCAGAACAATTATTAGCCTAAACCGTCAGAGTCGTGTTTGCATTGCCAACATTTCTAAGACAAATGTAATGCACAGTCTCTTCTGAAAAAGAGTAGCATTTGTTATACACACTGTATATTATGAAGATTATCTGAAAAATGTAAAGGAAACACATTTTGCAGTAGCTTTAATAAGAAAGAACTATAGCAATTAAGCCCAAAGTTTGATTTGCTAGGTAATCTAGCACTAAGACCATGATCTGTTGGCTGGTGCAGTATAATGTTGTACAGCCCCCCAGAGAACAGTTTCCTGTAAAAGTGCTAATGGTGGTCAAACCTATATGGAAGGGGAGAAGAGCAGCTGCACTTTGAAAAATTGGCAAAGAGGTGGCTGCTGATTTGATAGCAACGGGACTTTACAACAAAGAGACAGAGCGGCACAGAATAAAGCAGAGTTGGAACAACACCACCAAAATACTATCATAACACTGGTGTGATCAGTCATCCAGGTGAAAATGATAATGTCGAGGCTGACCTGAAACAATGGGAAAAACAACAAGGGCGCTGCGACCACGGACTACACATGATGGGAATGTACTTGCCATATCCACAGTCAGCAGGTTTACTGCGACAACCAAAGCTGCCTGAACCTCGCTCTAAAAGCATGTTTTTGATGCTCTCCATCTGAAACACACAACTGAGTAGTGTAGCGTCATCCACACACACCACACCCTCAGGATTACCAGCATCCCAAATGCAAACACTTCTAAGAAAAGTAACCTCAGGTCTATTTGTTCCCCCTCTGAACCTGTATTTGTCTGTGCATGTGCTAAAGAAGCATTCATAATTGAAGAGAAAGAGTAGTATTGTGTGCAATCAATAGACTAATCATGCATGTGACTGGTTAGGTCACCATACAAGGTTGTCCTTCTTACATGGGCTGTAGTGTGGCCTACTTCATGTCAAGTCTTCAAACAGGCCAGACTGGTTCAACTAAAAAAAATGTACGTTAAATTGAACACAATACTATAAAAAAAAATAGAAATACAATTAGCCAACACTACAATGACTTTCTTAAACAACTGCCAAAAGCTGCAATCTCAAAACTAGAGCTTATTCTCTCATTTAATATACCTGTCAACCAACATAATATTAATCATCAACTATTTTCTTCTGATAGTAAACTGACTATGTTATAAGAGGTCATCTGATATCATTAGTCCCTTTAATGTGTGGATCAATTATTAAATGACAACTATTTCATAATTAATGAATGATTTACTTAGTTTGTCATTCAAAATGGTTTCAGCTTCTCAAACTGGAAGACAGGCTGTTTAATATCATCGTTGAGTATTTACTATTGTATTTAATATAATAATAATAATAATAATAATAAGAAGAAGAAGAAGAAGAAGAACATCATTAGTTGTAGAATTAAATGGAATGGGTTCCACTATTTCCTGAGGTTTCATGCACCAAACAAGTAATTGATTGAGTGACACATTGATCCCCAGATAAATCAACAATGACAGTGACTTTCATACCAATATGTGTGATATGTAGAGTGCTCTGTAACAGATGACAAGCAGGACTCATGTCATTACTCACTAAGTACTGGCAGTGAAGCGTCAGTTCAGTTGATGACAGTTAAAGAAGGCAGCTATTTTGAAAACTGTGTAGCATTTTTTAAACTGAAAGGCCACACAATGGATGTTACCAGCTACTTCAACTTGATCATGTGTTATTTCCCTTGCCTTAAATTGGAATCAACTGTATACTTAACAGTTTTGCACTGTTGGTCAAATTAAAACAGTGAATATGGACTAAATAGTTGGATGTATCAACTTGTGCTTTAACTGTGATGGGCATTTTAACCTACAGTGAATGATGTTAATAAATCAGGAGTAAACTCAGCCTGAATAGACGGTATACCTGTGGTTTGACAGCTCTTCAGTCATTCAGTACACGTTAGATTTAACACACGATTAAACAAGGTGTCAGGCTTCTTATCACATTCGTTCATAATGGACTTTGACAAATAGGTGCATTTATTATACCACAAGAGATAGTGTTAATCTTGATAACGATACAGTGTTCCCGTAGATAAAGTTGTTTACAGGCATCGAGTTAAACTTCCGTAAAGTAAAATGTCGGCTGGCTCTGAACCAAACAAACTAGACTCCGAAAGTTAGCTTATAATATAAAAACATGTTATTTACCTGAATCCCCGTCAGTCCACTCTGAAGAGTGGAGAGAGCCATGGCGTCAGATCAGCAAAGATGACGCCTTTCCTCGTCTTTTTCAGCTTTCCTGATCTGATAATAGTTTTCCGACCGACCCCTGGGTTAAATGTGATGCAAACTCTATCAAGGACAGTGAATGTATCAAACGGAGAGTCGCCTGATCATAATAAAACAGCTCGTCGGTTTGTACTTCGAGCTTCTCTTCCGCAGTTATGCGAACGTTAGCTACGCTAGCTACTTTAGCAGCTAGTTAGCAAACAGTTAGCGGAATAATTATATATCTGTAGACCCGTGCGGTCCCTCGACAGTTGCTGTACTGTGTACCGATGATCAAATAGAGCTCTGATTAAAAAAAAGTCGCACAGGGTAAATAAATGCACCCTGTTTTTTTAGTTCTATCGCTTGTTGTTCTATTCTCTCATCACTTTTCTCTGTCGCCCAGCGCCATCTTGGTTAATGTCATTTTCATTTTCCGGAGGACCAACCAGAGTAGAGAGTACATTATGTCGTCATGCGCTAATCAAAAAGCGTCACGGGAAGAAGGACGTTTTTATGAATGTATGTTTGTCTGTATATATTTTTTATTTTTGTACTAAATCCCATTTTACTTCAGAATCAGAACTTTGTACCACAGCGGGGAAATGTAAACTGTTACAGCAAAAGTGGCAAAGCAGTCAAAATAGGCATGCAATAACAAAAAAGAAAAGCAGACTTAAATCAAAAGAAGATTTTTCCAAGCATGGTCAAGTATTATTCGATACCACATCAGAAGAAAATCATCAGCATACAAAACGTTGAATGTATGTATTCATTAATTTTTTTAATCATTCACTTAGTAAAAATATATATATTTACTGGACAATCTTATTGATTGTAAAATACTTTTGACTTTGAACCTCTTTACTTTTTATGGAAAATATGTTATACAAGGGACCCCCTTGAAAACGAGATGGTGCATCTCAAGGGGTTTATCCCAATGAATAAAAATGTCTATATATACTTTTTTTTTTAAATTGTCCTGACCAAAAAATCCAATCATACAGCAAGTCTAAATCATAGGTCTAAATACAAATCAGTCACTGTATTGTAAAATCACATGGACTAAGAGATGATGATGGGATAAAAATATGTAAAACCGTAAATATAATGTAGCCTATTTGCCGCATCACTCCTTGGTAGCCTTTAAGATTTTGGCTTATCCTGTATTTTTGTCGATATGTCGACTTGTGTTTGGTTAAAAGATAATGATTTGGATTATACATGATACAATAAAACAGTTAAAACAAAGAGGGCGGATGAAGTTCACATAGGTGTGGTTCCTAACATTTACAAGGATGCAAGTATAATATGTGTAAAACACAATGTTTGGCAACCAAATGCAGTGTTTTAATATGGGTAAGGCTTAATTAACAACCGGGCAAACCAAGCAGCTGTCCTGGAGCCCCAAAGGCCTAAAGTTCACTGCATGTCAATTTCGCTGTGGTAATTAGATTTTTTGGGGGGGAAAGCAACAGTCTACACTACAGTAAATTGAGTACACTTCACTGACGAGGACATGTTGAAAGATCCATACAAATATGGGAAATGGATATTGAGTTAAGATAATGTTTTCAAACTACAACGTGGAAGATGAAGTATTGAACTTTACACTCAAATAAAGATAACCGTTGTTGGCCTGACATGTTTTATTAATGCATTCATTTTTGTCTCGTAATCAGAGATCTGTACTAGCCAAAACATGCGTCTTATATGGCTGTAAGATCAAAGCTGAAAATGTGATGTCCAAGTTGAAATAATGCTCAATATTTACATCGTTTTTTGGGCAAAAGATGAAGACAACAATTGTGAAAACATTTAAACAGGATTTATTTTTTATTGCCTACTTGAACACAACTTACATAAATATAAAACAGCAAGTTCATCCAACGATATGTAAATGGTTCATCTGTAGTTAATACTATAGGCAGACATTATGTGATTGTACTGGATATAATACTAAATAACTTTGAATGCACACACACACACACACACACACACACACACACACACACACACACACACACACACACACACACACACACACACACACACACACATCCCCTGGGTGGGACAAAAGGTATCAGGGCCTTGGGCCAAAACACACCTTTTTATTACAGGGCATAGTTTGGGCTCACTTTCCTAAATTCCCCTGACTCCAGATGTTCAGTCTCACAGCCAACGTGTTAAACCCACACTAATCTTTTGTGACTCAGCTGTCCGACTCATCGACATGTTGTTACTGTGTCTACGAAAGTTTACTTACAGTTTTGTTAAAAAATGAAAGAAAAAAAATGACCGTATAAAATAAAAATTAGGTCTGGGCAAGTTAAGGCGTTAATAACACAGACAATTATTTTATCGCACATTAACAGTTTTTTAAATTATATTTTGAAAGTCTGTTGCTTACTGGCTCTGAATACACATACAGAAAAACCATGGGTCACAGGTTTTATATATTTGTGTCAATGTTACATGTCAGATATAAGTGCATTATGTCTAATCTGCTTTTTACACTGTTCACATTTTGGTGTGTTTGCCTGGATCATCTTCATCTTTGTCACTTTTATTTGAGTCTTTCCAGACCATCTCTATCTCTGCCTTCTTTAGACTTTTATCATCGTCATCATCTTCATCAACCTTCTTCGTGAACTGGGCCTCAATTTCTGTAGGGTCAATGTAGGTGTAGAAATGCGCCATGATGGAAAAGATGAAACACACTGCAATCAAGAGAGAGGCAAACAGGACGTACTCTGCCCACTTTGAAAGAGAAGGAGAGAAGCAGAAGGACACACGTTAATGATGCATGATCCTTTGTTATTGTCAATACATGAAACAAATCCAAGACATGCCCACTAAAAATATCTCTAAGGTTTAGTTTGATGTTCGAGTTTTTACCTGTTTAGGAAGCTTTGCAAGCTCAGCTACAATCAGTACAATGAAGTTGCCGACAGCAACAGTCAACAACCAGCCTGCTTGCAGCACTGCTTTCATGTTACTAGGTGCCTTAAAAAAACAAAAGACAAACACAAGTTAAATAAAACCATAATTAAAGAATGGAAGACTATTAATTATACAATTCAAATCCCACTTCTAATTTTCCCTGTCATACAACAACTCCTGAAATAAAGTGGGAAAATGTGCTTTCTAACAATTTTACCTGTGAGTAGGAGAACTCCAGACCAGTAACCGAAAACATCACTTCACCAACAGTTATGAAGAAGTACTGTGGGATCTGGAGAGCCATGTGAGCTGAGTTGGGCTCGATGTCTTCTGATTCAGTAATCGCCCCCTGACACTAAAATAAATAATCACAATTGGTCAGTTGAGGGCCGTGTTTCTCAACCCGTGAGACTAAAAAGAAGGCAGCTGGATAGATTTTAGCATCTTTTACCAAAGCGAACACATGACAATATACATGACAATTTGTAATAGGATGTTTCATCCTTTGTTTTGCTGTATTATTATAAAGAAAATCCCATGAAAAGACCAAAACCAATAATGAACCATCCATCCTGACCGTGTCTGACTGTGGCACTTAGCCCAATGTCTACCTTCTTAATAATAATAATAATAATAATAATAATACTACATGATACTTGTATAGCGCTTTTCTAGACACTCAAAGACGCTTTGACAGAGAATAAAAAACAACAAAAACAAAACTAAGGAAAATACAAAAAGAGATAAACAAAACAGAAAATAGTGTGGGGGGGGGTGGTCAGTGGTTGAATGCAGTGTTGAATAGGTGGGTTTTGAGTGATGTTTTGAGTGTGGTGAGGGAGGAAGAATCGCTGATGGATTGGGGTAAATCTTTAAACACAGGCAACACAAATTAAGTTATATTGTTTATAAGGAACATTTTCCTAAATCAGCTGGGATTTCTGGCTTTTCACTGATATTATTTTTAACGGATTTGTTGATATAAGATAAATATAGAATATCACCAATCATGAAACTTACATTTTGTCCAATGACTAAAGTGCTGGGGATAAAGAATGTGTATGAACTTCCAAATCCAAAGTCCCTGCTGTATTCACATGACTGTGAACCACTCTGTAAGGTGAAGATGGCTCTGTTCATTAGAAAAAGAAAAATCTGGTTAATAAACGATATTGTCATTTGCATTAAATAATGACTCTGATATAAAAACAGGGGTGGATTGTCAATACGTTAAAAATGTCCTTACTTTCCATATTTTAACTGGGAGTAGTTGGAAAATTTAAATGGCTCAATAAGTCCAAAGTCAGCTCCAGCCGTTGAAACATTCAATGTTGTATTCATTCCATTGATAAATCTGAAAAGGGTACATAATGGGTCAGAATTAAAAAAACAACAACAGCAGTGTAATCCCATTTTTTTCAAGAATGTACTGTCTGAAACTCTCTAAATGTAAATATGTTTACCAGGTAAGAGCCTGAAACAATTGATTGACTATGAAAAAAGTAAACGACTCATACTGTTGGTCAACTGATCAATTAATTGTTAAAGTATAAACATTTGAAATTAAACTTACCGGATTGCATTGTTGCCTTGTTGTGGCTTGGAATTCAAAGCGTCAGTCTGAGGAAATACAAAAATGGATGTTGATTATCATAGCCATTTAAAGTCCTCATGTTTGCTTTGACCTATGTTGTGATTCTAACTCACCAACAGCCAATTGTCATTGATATTTGCAGGAATGAGAAGCTTTTGTCGCTTTCCTTTGACCAAGGGTATACTTTTTGTCACTTCAGGGCCGACAATTTTAACATCGATAATATGTTCTTTAAATGTAAAGAAGTTCTCGCTGGCCTGCAAAACAATAGATATAATATGTGTACAAATATGAATGCATAAACATGTTGTTTTGACTTTCATGCAACTTTTCAAAATGTCTCAATTTGTGTTTTTGTATGAGGACATACCTGAGCTGCAGGAAGTACCAGAGGTCCGTTGCCAGGCAACAAGCAAGTGACTGGAGTACTGCCCATGTTCATTAATTTCAACTGACTCTCGGACGCTGACGGGAAGATAGGGTATGTTATCTGAAAATTAAGTGAGTTTGAAATAAATGAATCCCTAAACGTATGGGTAATGTATCAGTATATGAGCAGATTATCACAATATCTGTTTTCTACTTACATCGATTTGAAGCTGAACCACAGCAGCGCAGACAAATGCTATGGCTGCCATTACCATCCCTACTGTCATTCTTTTCAGAGGTCTGTTGAATTAACAATAAATCCTGTCAATAATTTGTACAAAATATGAGATAACTACAGCACCAAAGGTCTCCATATTTATACATGCATAAAAACTATGTATGACAGTAATTTCAACATTTTTAACACTATCGTGGATATTGTTAGGCCTGATTCAGATGCAAGTGCAGTTCCACTGGTCTTATATCGAGGTATCATTTTTAGCTT